GCAAGTTGCTGCTAGTCTTGTGATATTGTAGACAAATACATTATTTCAGCGACATATATATCAAATAATAATTGCCTTGTTTTGTAAAAACTTGCCTAACACGGACTGGAAATGCTGTTAAAATAATCAAACAATTTTGAATGTGAAAATTAAAAAGCTTCGTTTTGGAATTGTAATAAAAGAACTGTGAGTAATAATAATTACTCTGAATATCTAAAGTTGATTTTTGAAATTTAAAATATTTAGGGCTCTGTCAAAATGACGTAGATATTTTGCATACACAGTGAAATTTCATATGAAAGTTAATGTTTAGATGATTTTATTAAATGTAGCAAAATTTGAATGGAAAATGAATGTCGTGAACAATAAATCCTCTATTAATATTATTGATAGGTACGTAAAATGTAATCCATTTTTACTACATACACTCAAATTTGACACCGAATTAATTCAGAATTGTTCTACCGTTTGTAGTTTCAATGAGGATGTTTGTGTGTGGACTTAGGTTACTGCACATTATTACTATATTTACACAATCAGATAGCTATAGAAAATTAAAAAGCTTGTTTTGCAGCCTCAACAGAAGAAATCTGTGCCAATTGTTATTTTATTTTAATTAAGATATTCCAACCAAAAGAAGATAGTCTAAAAATTCAGGAAAAGGCAAATGAAATTTGTTATATTTCCACAAATTTCCAGCATGCAAATTCCCCTTTAATCTTAGAACACTAGCATATTTACTGTAGTTGTATACTAACTTCAGCGGAATCGATTTTTGCCCACATAAAAGTAGTGTAATTTATACATTTGTTTCATTTTCCTTGGTTTACAAAGTATTAAAATAGTCTCTGAACCAATGATTTGATATTGTATCAAAATTCAATTCTATTTTAGCTAAAAATGTCACCAAAAATTAAGGCTGGTATGATTTCATCATGATTTAAATAAAATGATAATTTAAAAAAATCAATTAAGTTAATATTTATGATTTGTAAGTGTGAAAATATTTGAAAAAAAGTTATGCAGATAAGACTTAAATCTTTACACAGTTTAATTGTAACCACCGACTCACTCGATTACCTGATTTCTTCGGCGATTCAGCTTTGCCCGGCTGCTTCGTCGCACACTCCCTAGAGGGAGCATGCGTGATTGCCTAATACTGGATTGAAAGATGAGGCATTTCTATTATAGCTTTAATCAATATTGGATTCAGTGCGGGTGAAGCCAGTGCCAGAAACAACTTACAACTAATCGTAACTTAAAAAAGGCGGCATGGCCAGAGTTCGTATTAGCCCGTGGTTTTCGCCCTCTCGGGTGGTCATGATCCAAGCTCCAGGGGCGGCGTTCGGCATCCCAGCGCCCGGCAGGTCGGCGGCGGTCAGCCTCGGTCGGTGCTTGCCCCAGGTTCCTTGAGGCGACCACTCGGCGGCCGCGGTGGCGGCCCACAGTCACCGGATTAGGCCAGTGCGGCGTCGCTCAGCGCGGGCAGGCGGCAGGGCCGCGCCCTAGCGAAGGCGGTCGCTTTGTGGTCGTGTCTTTCAGGCCCCCGTACCACTTTTCTTTGCGGTCAGGCACTCACATGTGGTGTCCCGTCCATAGTTCGGCTTACGTTACGGGAGTCGGCTGCGATAGTGCGAGCGGCGCGGCATTCGAGCGACCAGCACGGATAGCCCGGTTTCGAATAAAATAATAAGCCTATCGCGGCATCCGAAACACGGTGATCTCGTCGCTGCTCCAAAAGAAGTGGCCGTTGTCTTCGCGGTCCCTCAGGAAGGCTCGTGTGTCACGTGATTTCCCCCGCGTCTCACATCGCAATTGGTAGTCGCGGCCCCCGTGGTTTCTTCGTCTACCACAGTGTCCGCGCAAAGCTGCGCTCATTGCAACTTTCTCCGAAGTACTCCGTCACGTAAATTCAGAACTGGCGCGGGTATTCAGTTTGCTCGGTTTGGGGGTGCGGGAAGCGTATTTCCCCTTGCATCACGAGGGTGCGCCGGCGTGGGTTGCGTTGAACAAAGGAGATGCATTCATCCGTCCCTCGCGCGCTAAGCGCCCTTCAGTATCGCAAAACGGCACGTTTCCTGCTTGCCCTTTACGCAGGCGCGCTTCCATCTTAAATTTAATATTTAATTCGCGTCGCATCCGATATGTGCGACCGTCTCATTACAATAAAAGAACATGTTATATTTCTTTGAATTTTTCACGTAACTGAACACATTTCGAGAAAATTCAATGTATATACATTAAATGACATGCTTATGAAATGAACATAAAATTTGTAGTAGTTATTTACTATGGACTTGGATGATATATCTTTTGTCAATTAACATTGTCTTAAGTCAAGGTTTATTTAGAATGTGTTCCAATACATCATCGTAAGACATATGTAATATTTCTAATTTTTAAAGTCTTATTTCCATTAATTATTAAGATCATTTCATAATGAGTAAAACTTATTCATAAACTCTGAGTGAAGTAATTGCAGTTCTGTTTATTTGTTCATCATGAATTGATTTTCTTGTTAGTTTGTATAATGCTAATTTTCAACTACTTAATTATTATAAAATACACTAATATAACACAACAACGATACACTATTTTATTTATGACATGTCTATAATAATATTAACAAACAAAATTAGCATTGAAATTCATCATCCTCGTCTACAGGAGGATAAGAAGCATGTTTCTGTTAAGCTGACAAGTATCACAAGAATTAATATTAATATTCCAGAAGCTCCTGCATTTCGTCTGTTTCCTTTATGACTCTGTCCAATGGTTTGCGTTTTGGAGGGCCTTTAGATCTTCCTGTCTCTTAATAAATTCAGCCCTTTCCAGAGTCTATTCAACTTTCTTTGTTGTTGTGTTCTTTTTTCATGGACTCTGTTGTGGATACAATTCATGAAGATCCAAATTGATGGTGTTCCCAGGTCAGGATGTCAGATATTTGAAGATTTTAATTTAAACAAATTGGAATCAAATAATTGAACAGGTATCAAAATTCTAACAGTTAAAAAACTGGCCTTTCATTCTGTTTCCTATTCTGATATGAATTTACGAAATAATGAGACATTTATACATTTCCCTCGCTTTTTCATCTATGTATTCGCGCTAAATATTCATAAAAATTGTTATATTAACCAAAATTATTTATTTGGTCTCAGATCCCATCTTATTGGCAGATTGTATTTTTTTTGCGATAAAAATATATCTTCTATAGAAGTAAGTTTGTCCACAATTATATTTCACAGTGTGCATATTAGTTTATTAGTACATACATTTTATTAATTTTTATAATATTTGTAATAAATTTACAATAAAACTTGGCGATTATGTTTTTCAATGCATCTGTTGATTTTGGGAGCTTTAGAAAGGGCATCCTCCAAGAGATTGAAGCAGCTCTTACGAGACATTTCACCATCTTCTGCAAATATAACAAATTAATTCTTTGTGTAAGTCATAAGAGAGCAGAATATACACGCACCACAACCAGCATTTCGCACGACTTTGAAAATGCGCGTCAAAACGCAACAGCTGCGCTATCTGCACCAGGTCCGGGACTGAGGAAACAAACTTAGTCCCCCGCTTTTAACATTGAGTGAACCGGCCCTGGGAGGTCCTATGCATGGTCCTCGCTGTGGCATCTAACATGATGGGCACATAGAAAATGTGCGTGAATAATAGTGAATTCAGTTTTGGTTAGGTTATAACGTAATGACCACTGGTCGCTACGTAAACGTACGACAGTGATAGAGAATGACAAATGTTAACTGTTGCTGATACGTGAACTTCTAATCACATATTTGGAAACATTTTCCGTTACTATGGATCTCTCTGTTGTTCTCGTACGTATGCATATTTTCCATTAATTTTTTTTCTCTTGTCAATGACGGTAAAAACAATGTGACGTATTGGGAAAAAAACAATCTGCGCACGTTTTCTGAGCTCTGGATTCAATTCCAATCTTTAACCTAGTTAAGTGATGAATGAAAATTATAACCAAGCATATCAGTAATATTTCAAAATAGATATTTTCGCTCCACAGTTATAAAAAAGCGTTTGCGGTGGAAAACGAACTGCAGAATTAAGTTGTTAGTGTTTGCAAGAAAATTGTACTCCATCTCTTCTATTACTACTACTAGAAAGGAGAGGTCAACTAAACGTGTGCATACTGAAGATACATTTATGTCCAGAAGCAAACCAAGGGCCATCTCAGCATTTGTTCAATGATCAGGGAAACATGACAAACCTCATTGAGATGGTGGT